GGGAGGGAGGGAGGGACTCACCTCCATCTTCTGTAGGTCAGCCGAGACAATGTCGGGGTTGGCTATTTGCTCCTCCAGCGAACGCTGCGCGACGAGGTCGTGGCGAGGTCGCGGCAAAGTCGCGACGAGGTCACAGCGATGTTGTGACAAGGTTGTGACGAGGTCGCGATGAGGTCACAGCGATGTTGTGACGAGGTCGTGGCGAGGTCATGGCGAGGTTGTGACGTGAAGATCGTGACGTATGCCGATGATGGCGGTCGAACGAAAACGGAAACGCAGTTCGATCGTTGAATTTTTTTACACGCTTGACACGTTCGGAATTACGATTAGATCGTTTCTGCGATTTCAGCTTTTTTAAAAACTTTTATTACATCAATCTCACTTAATTGATCCACTGAATTGATTCGCTGATCTGACGTTCACATGCAGCATTGTAATCGGACGCTCGAAAGATAACTAACGCTTAGTGACGAAATACGCTGGAAAAACGACACGCTCCCTCCCGTGTACACATTAAAAACACGCAAAAAACGATCTGGCTTGACCGACGTAGAAACGATGTCCAAGCGTGGCGCGAGTATTTCACGTGGACAGTTAAGCTGGGTTTACACTATCAACTTTTAGTCGAGTGCTCAACTTTTACGTTTACACTGCCGACTTTCGGCCGATCAGTTGAAAAGTTGATCAACTCGTCAACTTTTCAACAGAAAGTTGATAGTGTAAACCCAGCTTTAGACGAATCGCTAGCACTTACAAACTTGACGGTCTGAGGAACTTTGACCTCGACGGCGATTCCGCCGGTCGTGTACGGCTGAAAGACGTCGCCCGCCGTGTCGCCGATGCTGAACGAATACGGCGACGCCACTGCGTGAGAAGAAACACATGGCGGCCATGTTAATACGACGGCCTTGTTAACATGACGGCTATGTTAACACGGCCTATGTTAACATGACGGCCATGTTAACGCGACGGCCATTTTAACATGACGGCCACGTTAGCACAGCAGCCACGTTAACATGGTGGCCATGTTAACACGCCGGCTATGTTGACACGACGGCCATGTTGACACGACAGCCACGTTAGCATGGTGGCCATGTTGACACGGTGGCCACGTTAACACGGTGGCCATGATACACGGCAGCCATGTTAACACAACAGCCATGTTAACACGATGGCCATGTTAACACGATGGCCATGTTAACACGACGACCATGTGGCCATGTTAACACGACGGCCATGTGGCCATGTTAACACGACGACCATGTTAATACGGCGGCCATGTTAACACGACGGCCATATTAACACGACGGCCATGTTGACATGGCGGCCATGGTAACACGACGGCCATGTTAAAACGGTGGCCATGTTGACTCGACAGATGCAGTTCGCACACTTCTCCCGTTTTCGGAGAAAAAAATGTTGAAGTTGGACAGATCCAAGTAGTTTGTATTCTTCTCTGCCTACATTTCTAGTATTGCGCATATCTGCTTACTGGAGAAATTAGAAAATGTCAATATGCTAAACGTCAGTGCTTGGACAAGTAGGGAATTACCATTTATCACAAACTGCTTCCCATTGACCTTTTCCATGCCGCCGACTTCCTTGAAGGTAACTATGTTACCACTTTCAAAGCCATGCATTCCGTTCTCAAGGCATGTCACTAGGCCAGACTTTCCCTAGAGAAAACAAGCTAAAGTCATTAACAACTTCCAATTACAGCGAACAGAAATTTAACCCACACGGCAAGTACGCCTAGCAATTGAAATCGAGTTGACGAAGAAAATTTGTGAAAGCATAAATTATGAGAACAATGGGTTGAGAAGTGAAGAATGAATGAAACATACGTGCTCGTGGGTAGCATATACCAACGTGAATCATTCACCTTAACGGTAACTATCACAATAACTAACCTTCGATATGTTTGCAACAAAGACTTCCTTTGGTTCCTCTCCATTCTTGTCGATCACCTCAAACTCATCTCCAAAGTCACAAAAGATGGACCCAAACATGCCATACAGGCTGGTGGCTATGAACTGAAAAACCATAAGTATGCATTTGGTCTTCTGCGTGAAACGTGCACCACGGTGCAACAGTGACACAGGGGTAGAAATAAACTTTTTAACAAGGGAGTCCAATGCCTCAAAAAGAGGGAGTCCGCAGCAAAATGAGGGAGTCCGCAGTCTGAGGTTCAAAATTAAAGATATTGACAATAATGCATCAGCATGTGCTAATTATTCATGCAGTTGCACGTCTGCCAAATTTTCTTTGGACATTAGCTGAAAAAATACAGTAATTCCGCGAGGCCGTGCTTCGGAACAAACTATAGTATGTATGGCAGAATTTTCAGGGAGTCACACGGACTCCTGCATATGTCAAATCAGGGAGTCCGACAGTAATAATCAGGGAGTATTTGACTCCGGACTCCCGTTAATTTCGCACCCTGAGTGAGTGTGGTAACTCGTCTATGCATGTGATTTAGATGCTTTTATTAGCACCTACTTGTCTCGACCATGTTAATATAATTACGAAATAACGTTCTGACCATAAATGAACGATGAACCGTTTTAATATCTTACGAAAACCAAAAACGCAAACGCACACAGCTCAGAAAAGTTCTATGCAAATATCAACCCCCCCCCTCATATTCTATATCGTTATCGGGTTTATTCGCAACCCAATGGCTACACATACCACCATTAACAACACACAGTGGGAATCGGTTATCAATTAAACTTACCTTTATTGGGTTGCTATGGTTACGACAAAAGTTGTCGACCTTTATCTGAAGACTTATCGGCAGTCGCGTCAGAATCACACACTGTAACAACAGCACGTCATCACTCACTAGTGCCAAACACGTTCACTTGTCTACGAAACATTACCTATATATATAGCTAACAATAGTGACAAGTCATAGTGGTGACAAGTGACAAGAAAGACATTGACAAGTCGTGGTGGCGACGAGTGACAAAAAAGACATTGACAAGTCGTGGCAGTGACAAATGACACGGCAAACACTGACAAGTCGTGGTGGCGACGAGTGACAAGAAAGACAGTGACACATAGGTGGCAGTGACAAGTGAAAAAAAGGACAGTGACAAGTTGCAGCGGTGACAAGTGAAAAAAAAGACGGTGACAAGTAAGACAGTGACAAGTCATGGCAGTGATGAGTGACAAAAAAGACGCTGACAAGAAAGACATTGACAAGTCGTGGCGGTGACAAGTGCCAAGAATGACGGTGACAAGTCGTAGTGGTGACGAGTGACAAGAAAGGCGGTGACAAAGTGGCGGCCAGACCGATCCGCCGATCAACACAATCCGATGCGGCCCTCGACGGAAAAAATGGGATCTTTATCGTACAAGAACGTTTACGTGAGTACTGGCACGACGGGCGGTACTAGCGATGAGAGGGTCTATGTCCCCCAGGGTACTGCCGGAACGTACCCTGGGTACGGTCCGGTATACC